TATTTACAAATATACATATAACACACCACAGCACCCAGACACGGAACAACAATTTTTAAATAGACAGTTGTACCATAGGCCCATAGCCTATAGCATAGCATAGGTGTTTTTTTTTTTGTGAGAGGAAAATCATCAAATGACTTCTCCCGCCCACGGTTGGGCGGGAGGGAGTGTCAGACTCTTACTGACTAAAAACCCCCCTGTTCCTTCTCCTGCTCTGGGCCGAGGTCACGGTGCCTCATTGCGCTTACCCCGCAACCCCGGCTGAACATCAGCGCCTATACGGGCCCCGTCTGTGATGGTATATTGGCTCTGCATAGCATAGGTAAGAGTCAAAGAGGACAGTGGTTGTATCGTCATTGGTAAGTCTTTGTAGGTACAAAATGTACCTACCTAGGTACATGTTCTGTTCACAGTAGCGACATTTAGTCTTACTGCCATCTAGTGAGGACTGGTGGTACTTAACTTTATCACGTTTAAGTATTTTGCAACTAGTTATAAGAAAGTTGCAAAGATGGCGCTGTATTTAAAATATTTTAATAAATGTTTTGCATTTGATTTACCTCATAAAATAATAATATTAGTTGATTGACCCAAAAAATGACATCAATTTCAAGTTTAACATTAATTTTTGTGGGTAACATAATAAAGGAAAAAAAAACAGTTTATCTACATAATAAAAGAAAATGCAAACTTTGAACTTTACTTTGAATATCTCTTATTAGTTACGATTTTTTTTTAATAATTCTAAAATAAAAAGTTAGTTGTATTCAATCGAAACTACTCACGGGGATAAATAATACAACAGAATAAAGTTTAATGACTAGAACGTCATTTATTTACTTAGAGCTTACAAAAGAAAAATCAGTATCGTTTTACAAAAACAATCACAACACAGCTCAGCTGTACACGCACAACATAACAATCAGAATAGCACGGAATGATGAAAATTATCCACAAAACATTATCTGGAATGTTCTAACCCTGTTCTTCTTTGTTTTCCTGCTTCTTCACAGGTCCAGTGTGAATGATTGGAACTACTCTTTCGTTAGACTCCTTCGGAGGAGGCTTCAATGGCGCCGTGATTGATAGAACACCATCAGAAGACAATTTTGACATCACAGAGTCGGCATCAATACCTTCGGGTAACGCGTACCGCCTGGTGAAGCTTCTGGAGATAAATCCATGCTGGTCCTGCCTTTCCTCGTGCTTGGCTTCAACCACTAAGTAACCGTCGACCGTCTTCACAGAGATTTCTTCCGGTGCAAAGTGCTGGACATCTAAATTCACCTGGAACTTGTCCTTATCTTCTTTGATGGTGGAACCAGCGTCCTGAGCTGCCGCTTGAAGGTTTCTCCAAGGTCTGTAGTAGTCGCGGCTGGCTTGAGGAACAGCGATGATGGTTAACTGGTCCTGCGGTGTCAATCCCAAGCCGAAATGCTGGTCGAGCAACCGGCGGGGGTTGTGGCGTGGACGCTCGTAGTCGAAGAAAAATGGATACATCGACATCTTCACTTGATAATACAGTTAATCTTCACTTGTACACGATAAATTCAATGAGTTTGCACTCGAATCTCGCTTTGCGATCTCCGACGCTTTCGCTAATCGCTCTCTTCAATGTTGCGTTCAGTTGAATGAATGCCGAATTCTAGCCGGCTTCACATTTATATCGCCGGCAGCGCCATCTAGTATGTAATGGAATTTTCTCGAACCCTCCTCTAGAATGAGCAAGATGACTCGCGCAGGCGTGTGACGCACTGACGGCAGATGCTATAAACATTTTTTAAACCTAAGTTATGAATTTGCACAACTGAATAAATTTTCTTTATAAGATTTTTTTTTATTTTAAATAAAATATTTACAAATCGCTGATACTATATCTTCATTTCTTATAATTATAGGACTTTATTGCAAAATGTTTTCTTCAAAGCGGTAACAAAAATAAAGCTTTTTTTAGTTTTACAAGGAGTGAAACATAAATGGATTTTTATAAAAATATACCATACTATTCACGCAAAATACTTATAATAGGTTACTAATCAAAAAATATTTGTAATAGTTAATAATTAATTACATACATATTTTAAGCAAGTTTATCCAAACATTCACAAGAACATACAAACAATAAGATTAGAATTGATATTTTTCAGGTAAATATAAGATTAAATTAAAAAATCCAAAAATAAAACGAAATTCATTATTCCGCACTGAAAACAACAAAATCCACATGTCAGATAAGGCATATTTCGCAATAGCTGGTATGATAACCAAATGTTCTAAATTTCTGAATACGAAGCGCTATCTGGTGTCGAGTGGCAACACTATGAAATCTAGAATATTTCTATTGAACCAAACAGTTCTCGAATGATAAGGAGCACTCTAGATGCGCTTATGAACGTTTATACTTATGAATGTGTGATAATAAACTAAATGGATTTGGATGTATGTTAATGTTTACTCTCACGAAATATGTGTACGTAAGCTAATAATAGATTATGACAAATGATCGCTTAAATTACCTAAGTATGTAGGTACTTTTTTAATCTATGTAGGCATTGTTTGATTTTAATAACAATTTGAAATGAATTTTCGGTAAAGTTATGAAATCTAAGGTATGTTGGGAAGCTACTCAGATTGTGATATAAAACATATTTAGGTACCTACTTACTTACCTTAAAAAGGTAAAACTAGAACTACCTTATTAATTTGTCAACACAAATATAAAGGTTTACATTATGTACATACTTGCTTTTAGGGATTTCCAAATTATCAGTCGGTATAATTAGGTCATCCTTAACCGTAACTTGCAGTCCTAAACTGACATACAAAATTAACCAGACCTTCATAAAGTTTCTGTATTACTCTCAAACACCTGATTTAATTATCTCATATAGTTTGTATGCCATGGTCTAACGTCCTATTAATTATCCTGTTTTTAAAATAGATATAACTAAGTTTAGGTACTTAATTTTATTTAAAATCTACCTATGCCAGTTAGTCGTGCTACAAAGCGCATAAAAATATGCAAAACTAAACAATAGATACACATGGTCATACATAGTCTCGGAACCCCTAAAGACCGGCAACGCACTTGCAACTTGCAATTCTTGTGTTAATAGGAGCCGCTGCTTAGCATCACGGGCCCCAAGCCGTGGCTATTACAATAGTGTCAAAATACTTAGTCGATCATTGGTTTTATAATTGTTGATTTTGACAAGCTTGCTAATCTACTTACTATTAAAATGGCGCCATTTTGATTTTCTCATGATTACTATTATACCCACCATAACCATTTTTGCAAAATGACAATGGAGTCGTGTTGGAGTTGGAATGACATATTCAAGAAATAACAGACTTGAGGCCCTGCTGGTCCGTATAACAGCTCGTTTGCTTATACAGTAAAAAATAATAATGTGTAGGTACAAGTATGCACCATCGGTTTTATTCGTAGCTTAACAATTCCTGGTATTTCATGTAAAAATCAAATAAAATAAAGCCTAAATTTAGGCTAAAAAAACATTTTAAAGCTTAATGCAATATGCAGTTATCGATCGATATACTTATACGGAATCTAGAACATTTAGATTCTCGAAAAAACATTTCGCGATTATACAAACATGTTGTCCGATAGCAATGAACTTGAAACGTTTCAGTTCAAGGACGCAGTATTATCAAATGATCGACCGGTTTGGTGGTTTAAAAATACAGCTTTATTTACCTTTATTGTTGTAATAATTATAATATTAATGACTGCCCCGTTGGCGCGGTGTCTGGGCAACTGGCTGCCGCGCAGCGTGTTGTCGTTTCGAGCCCCGCACGACACGACTCTTTGAATCATCCACACATTGTTGTTCCGGGTCTGGGTGTCTTGTGTATGTGAAATTGTGTGTGTTTGTAAACGCAGTCTCGATGCAGGAAATAATCCTAATGTGTGGAAAAGTTTTTTTTAAAAAAGAGAAAACAGTGAAATAATATTGTCGAAACGCATTTAAATACTTATAATATTTACTTTTATCTCTGAAAGGGTTCCTAAAGTTTCACATGTTCCTACTTAATTACACTTATAAGTTGCACGATGTTAAGTCCGATACAATTTAACGAAGCATGTATCTCAGACGGACTCAATGGTTCCAGTTATTTCTGTTGTAGATGTTTTCCAATCTTCCAAGTAAATAGAAAAAAATCAATAAGAATTGTGAATAATGACAAATACAATTTTGTATAATAAACCTATGCTTGAGGCAGAGTAGTAACCAGTAAGTATTCCCGTATAACAGATGAAATGTACGAATTTATATTACAATTTTCTCTTGTCCTCGTTGACTATTATAAAGAAAGTCGTGCGCATAACCGATTTAGAAGAAATATTAGTTAAACATGTTGGTTATTTTTTCAGATTATTGTAATAGCGATGTTTATTGCTATACCATAGTTATGATCTTGGTACATTTCGCTGGCTATAAAAAAAACTAAATAATGTCGTGCCAGCCCGTTGATAAAGGCATACATATTTTTATGTTGGTGTGGGTTCATTACCTGAACAGTATTTGTACCGAGGAGAGGTGGGCAAGAATCGGCCCATAGTGTGGTTTTACACCGGTGTCCTGCCTGTCCCTGGTATCTGTCCGATTGACTAGCAGTCGTAATGTCCATATCCTGCTCCGGGCCTAAGCCGCGGTACATTTTGCTGGGAACCTGGATTTATAATAAATTAATTTAAACTTTTCCAAAAAAATCCCTATGCAAACTTATTCTTAATTATTTACTGGCCAGACAAATGACAAACTCACCAAAAATATTCTGATCAAAACGTCAAAAACGGAGTAAGCAAATACAAAAGCGTGTCAAAAACTAGCGAGGCGAGAATTCAATAGCATTTTTACACTGATAAAATACTAGCAAATATGTCAACGCATCCATTTATTTTGGAAATTAATCAACCATTGCAACTAACCGACCAGCATTTTGCGTTAGCACTTACACCTGAGGACATATTAACAATGGTTGCTCCTCGGTACTCAAGTGACTACCTCAGACCCTGGAAGCACCTATCATCACTGATGAGCGACTTCAATACTACGATAAAGTCTGATAGGGCGAAGTTCCAAATCAATTTAGACGTTCAACATTTTGCTCCTGAAGAGATTTCGGTAAAAACTGCTGATGGATTTGTCGTCATCGAGGCTCAGCATGGCGAAAAGCGTGACGGACATGGATGGGTGTCCCGTCAGTTTAAAAGACGTTGTCCTCTACCTGAAGGATGTTGCCTTGACTTTGTACAATCTCGTCTATCATCTGATGGAGTTTTAACAGTTACCGCCCCATTAGAAAATCAAGTAGCTTCAAATGAACGTATTGTGCCTATCATTCAAACTGGACCAGTAAAGAAACTGGGAACCAGAAATGAAACGGGTGATGGAGAAGGTTCTCAAAGGTCTCCGGCACAAAATGAAGAGTAAATATAAACTTGCAGTTGTTGCAGTGGGCATTACGCCAAGCTCAAAATAGTTCCTTCTGATCGTGAACCTTATAGACATTAAATTCCCTGTGATTCATTAAATTTATTTTAGTTCATGTTTACATGACCTACATCCCATGTATGTAAATTGACACTATTTGATGTTCCAGAAAAAGCAATTAACAATACAAATAAATGATTGTTTATTATTTTAGTGACTGTCGTTGCCTTATTGATTAAAATACGATAGCATCAACTGTATACCTATTTACAACAATAGGTATCCATTATCAAACAGTTTGAAGCGATATCGAAAGTCATATTCCACTAATGCACTTGAATGCAAAATAAAAATGTTAGACACTTAAATCTGAAAATAATATTGAACTCGTTGTTGTTATTAAGAGGTAGCCTAAAGAAGACGATTATAATTATCTTTTACGTGTAAATATAATATTTTGTAAAAAATCATTTTATGAAAATATTTATAATGATTGGATTTGATGCCCGACCCGAGAATCAAACCAACTTCTTGTTTAGACACACTCGCAACAACTCATCTGCTGATTTCGTTAAACCAAAGACAACGCAGAATTTAGCAAATAAATGTATTTTATTGGTATAGGTATAAAATAAATAAATTGGGTTCATAGACTCCAAATTACCAGTCTATAGGTAAATGAGTTAATTTCCAACTCACACGCAGAAGGTTTGAGCATTAATTATCATGCTCATGGTTTCCTCACGATGTTTTTTTAATCGTATATCAGTGGTGTCCCAATAACTGTAACTGCATAAACTAATATTAGTCTATGGTAACGGTACTTGTCAAATTCCGAACCCACACCCTTATGCGTAAGAAGTCGACGACTTAACCTCCAGGCCACCATGATGTTATGGTTTAAATTATCAATTATTAATTTATTAAGTATAGTTAACCAACAAACAAAAGCAAACAAACAACAAAATAATTAAACATATTTTTTTTCAAATTGTGTATTAACAATAAAGATTTTTCCTTCCTAATGTATTGTTAAAAATTAACAAAATACATATATGTATACACATTCCCCTGAAGATATATAAATATAGATTTTAATTATTTTGTTTCTTAGCTCCGCGATATTGTTGTCCAAAATAACAGAAAATAATTTCGTGAAGCTTCTGTTTATATTATTTAGATTGTTACGTACGTTAACTTGGTGAGTTCCTATTTAGAAATAAAACAACGTAAGTTAATTAAATATAAGTGGTAAGTTTATTAACAAATAAAACAATAATAGGCGAATATAGCACAGATTTCAAATCAGTCTTACAAGAAAAATAATATTAAGTAAATTATTATTTACAATATTTACATATTTAGGACTCTTCCTTAGTGAGATCTGGTGAACCTACTTGCTTCTTGATAGGTCCCGTGTGTGTGATTGGCACGATCTTCTCCCCAGTGGAAGGTAAAGCCAGGACTTTAGGTGCAGTGACTGTTAAGACACCATCAGACGATAGTTTTGACTCCACAGTGTCAGGCAAGCAACCTTTTGGAAGAGCGTACCGTCTTATAAACTGTCGCGACACGAATCCATGGTCATCCTGCTTCTCTTCATGCTTCCCTTCAATCAGAACTTGTCCATCAACCACTTTCACATTTATCTCCTCGGGTGCAAAATGTTGAACATCGACATTCACTTGAAATTTCTCATCGTCCGAAGTTATTTTGCTCACTTCATTCAGTGCCAGCTGATTCATAGACGATGTCAGTTGTTCCATAGGCCTCATTAGGTTTTCCCAAGGTCTGAAGACGTTCTCCCAAGGCTTGAAGAACGATGGGCCGAAGAAGTCGCGTGGCATTAACTGGTTGAATGGAGAATAGCCAAAGAAATTATCCGGTCTGTAGAAATCTCTCTCCATCATACGGAAAGGTCTTTCGAGATCGTAGAAATAAGGAATCATCGACATTTTTTGTGTTCTTGCTTGATACTCTTTTATTGTTTAAACAATTCGCTTTCTTTGTAAACAACTACCAGCTTCCCGCTGAAACTCCGTATTTATATGCCCGCGACGCCAACGCCACCTATTATCAAAGATACGAGTTAATTCGAGAACGTACTACAACGCTTCGCTCTCCAACGAAAATTGTAGAACACGCGAGATTCGGAGTCTTGCTCACTTACGAATAGCGATGGACTGGGCAACCGGTTCTAGAATATTCTATTTTATATTATAACGCCATCTAGCGGTGAGTAGAAAACTCACCGATGCCATGATGCTGAAACACTGCCATCTACTAGGCAATAGAACAATACAGGCTAAAAACAAAATTATAATGACAAAATGGTGCTCTTCAGTCTTCAAGACGAATGGTAAAATGATAACCAAATTAGTGTAATTTATGGTAAATTGAATGTAGATACAGGTTATTTTATATATTTCTATATATGTAGGTTGGTTTCGATAACGTAGGCATTTTTGTAAAATTTAAATGTACCTATAATTTTGAATCAATTTGTCTTGTTACCTACCTAGGTAATCTTGAATGAGAACTTAAAATTGCATAGATGTATATTTGTGCATTTTTGTGCATAGGGGCAAGGCGGCCCGCAGCTGGGCAAATCAGCAGGCTGCTGAAGGCGTGGCAAGCGATAGCCCTTTGCGACGATTAGCACCCGAGGGGCTGCCAGGCCAGGACTGGCTCTGAGGACAGGCAGTCGTCAGTGGAACCGTAGCAGAAACCATCCCTGCCGCATACTTATTACCTACATAATGTTTAAAAAATGTATTTCTTAAAATTGTGTCTGTTATGCATACATAAGATAATGCCTAAAATATGTATATAGGTAGGTAATTAATTACTTCAAATAAACGTTATACTTATTATGTTAGTAGGTAAGGAGTTCTTAGAATTTTATGAAAGTGGATATGAAACCAAGTAGGTAGGCGCAACCTACTTTTTACGAATTACATTAAGTGCTGAAAACACCATTTACCTACTTACCTACCAAAAATTTACTTGCAACAGGCCTTAGGCGATAAAGTACATATTGGTAATTAGGTATCTAGGTACTCATTTTATTTATCTAGATATCTATTTATTTATGTTATACCTTTATTGTGCACACTATTAATTAAAAATTCTACAAAGAGGAAGCTTACAACTATAGATTGTTCAATGGGCAGTATTATCACACATGATTTCTTCCAGACAATCTTTGGATGGATATTTTAAAATTAAGACATTGTAGAAATAAGTCCACCGCGGCTGTGGATGTAGCAGAATTATGCACCGCGATCCCGACCTGGAGATAAGGAATGGGATGGTCTATAGTCAGTAAGAGTCTGACACTCTTACAGCACCGAGGGCGAGAAAAGACTATGATAATTTTCATTTGGTAGGCGACGGAAAAGATGGCGTTCCGATCTAGACGCCTATCGTCGATACTGGTGGACACGGTCGAAAGGTTGGGAGGTGTGAAAGCGAGATGGGGAGGCCCTTCGCCCAGCAGTGGGACATTACCGGCTAGTAAAAAAAGCGACGTTTACCACACCCACAAACTTGTTTAATTCTATCTTTCTGATGATCCCGACCTTGGCCTAGTTTCAAAGTTCACATCGTCGATATATCAATGTAACTGCAAATATTGCACATGCCTACAAAAGCTATGCTTGAGTACATCAATACCTACATTTTGTGCATACATTTTGCTATGCTATAATTACCAATTAAGCATATTGTAATTTAAACAGTCGATGACTTTGCCGGCTGTTGATAAATTGTATACAGGCTGTTTTTTATTTTAACTAGACATTTATTTATTTAAAATTGATTTGATATAAAATTAGTCATGTGTGGTTTGCTCACGTAATTTGGCAAGGTTCAAGCCATGCCGAGAGTCGTAGTTGGCATCGAGTTCAAAAATAGAAGGACTTACTTGATATTTAATTAGAAACCTTTATGAAATAGCATTTATATAAAATGATAATTGAATTATTAAGTAAATGCCTGATAAATTTTGTTTTTATTATTAAAATCTAAACGGACAGGCTAAACATTTTGAATTCCTTTAACGTTCTAAATTCAATATTCATATAATTTCTTAGTCAACATTTTTATATTTATTTACGTTAGAATATTAAAGTGATTTTTATGATCAATAATCGGTATTACTGCATGAAGATTGCATGTTCATGAAATTCGCAATATTTAGTAACCAAAACGTCTGGAGTTGCTCCCGTCCTAAGTTTAGCAACTGGGTTATCTCTGGGGCAAAACGTAGGTATTAGGCTACTGTCTGCTTGACTTTACCTATCTACAGGTAAAATTTGACTGAAATGAAATAATTCTAAGATGAGATGGCAAAGATCGTCTACCCTTAAAAGTATCTAGAAGTTACTGACCAAAAATGTGGCCATCGTTCGTGCCGGGAATATCATCCTGTTCTTTGTTGCTTGGCAGCTCCTATCGGTTCGTCATTCGGAGCGCCCTGTAGCTTATGTATCCTGTAGTATATTATTAGTGCAACGCCAAGCTATCTAGTTGTGTTTGACGCCGGTCGCCGAACGGTGATAACGAAATTATTATGAACTTTATATTATTGTATTTCCACTGTTTTATACTCTTTGTCTTTTTGCACTGGTAAGATTTTTGTTGTTATAATTTTATTTTCTGTAAGATTCCTTTGGTCTACGAACTTATTTGGCGTACCTACCTATATCCTATATGACCTACCTATAATAGTGCTTACGTAACAAGTTTAAATTAAGCTTTTCCTTACTTTTCTGAAGCAAAATTGTTTGTTATTGTTGTGATCTCTTGAGTAGTAAATAGCTTTACTAAGAGGACTGACCGACAGACTGACACTATATCTTTAAAATTTTGTTTGACGTTCAAAAGTACCTGTATATGTAGGTCTAATTGGAATAAATGATTTTTGACTTTGACTTTTTTGACTTTGAGTAATAAAAACTATGATAAACAATGCAAATTATAGAAACTTATAATAAAAATTAGAGTAAGTAGGTACCTCATTCATCCTAGTGTAAGAAATAGGTAATAAAATTTCTTATGTAATTAGGTACATCAGTTAGGTAACGTTTTATAGGTTAGATATATCTCTTTACTTTATTCTTTTACTGCCGTCCCGTCCCTAATTCGGCCTGGTGTTCAACTGAATCGGTGCCAGTAATTTGTAAGAGAATCAATTTCATCAGACAATTTGAACCTAGTACTTACTTAAAGGCTCGACCGGAGTGATACCACGGCCTCACATAAAACCGGCGTGAAACAACCACAGCGTTGTATTTCACCGTATGAGTTACCGGTGTGAGTGAGGTTACCGGATTCCAAGCCCATCCCTTTCCAAACCTTAAATATCCAAAACCCTCTTCCCCAAAAGGTCGGCAACACACTCGTAACTCCTTTGGGGTTGTGGGTGTCCATGGGCGGCGCCGATTGCTTACCATCAGGGAATCCATCTGCCCATTTGCCGACTTAGCCTAAAATCAAAACGACTGTATTGAACTAAACTATACTTATTTCTGTTTTCAGTGTTAATTCGTATCAACGCAATGTATTAGATTCGCAAGTATGTTTTTCCAATGGATTCAGTTTCGGTGTGGCTACCGCATCGTACCAGATTGAAGGCGCTTGGAATGTGTCAGGTAAGGAAACCTATGCTCCTAAAAACTATCCGATACCAGCCATTAATTTCGTCGTTGTAAATGCAAGTGTCGTGGTGGCCCGGAGGTTGAGGAGCCCGCTTCTCATGCATGAGGGTGTGGGTTCGAAACCTGGCAAGTACCAATGTGACTTTTCCGAGTTATATGTACTTTCTAGGATTATTTAGACACCACTGATATACGGTGAAGGTAAACATCGTGAGGAAACCTGGACTTATAATTTATAATTATAAGTTTGAAATCGCCAACCCGCATTGAGCAAGCGTGGTGATTAATGCTCAAACCTCTCCGTGTGAGAAGAGGCCTTTGCTCAGCAGTGGGCACTTATAGGCTGATGAATGAAAATGATGATGAAATGCAAGTGTCGTGGTGAACGTCGCCTCAGCTTGATTACCGATTTAAGCTTACACCTTTTCATGAAAGAGGTAAAGCACGTTCAATGGCAACTCCTCTTCCATTTTATTTTATGTGATAAGTAGGTCGTCGATCTAGCAGACGGACTACTTGATGGTAAGCAATCAGTGCCGCTCATATACCTGCAAAACTAGAGGAGATATTTACGAGTCTGTTGCCGGCCTTTTGGTGAGTAGGGTAACAGAGATATAGGGATTGGGGAGGGAAATGATTGGGCAAGGTAATAATATCTACAAGTATTTAAACTTCATAGAAACGGCCGAAACGCGAACTATACCTACGCGCCCGATGTCGGGGCGCGCTCGGGACGCAGACAGACGCGGCTGTACCGCAGTGACGAACGGACGGTGTGTTGTCTTTTATTTAAAAATCAGCTCGAGTACATTATTTAATATGACGAATAGGAAATATTGTGCTGTGTTTGGTTGCATGAATTCGTCAATAACGCATCCAGACATAAGTTTTTTTAAATTACCTGGAAACTCTGAAATGTAAGACTATAAAATAATTTTACTTACTAGTAGCCTAGGTAGGTAGGTACATAATGTGTGTATTTACAATGGATCATTATTTCCTTTTATCTCACGAAAACAGGTGTTTGAATTTATAAATAAAATGAATAAAGTTATTGAGACGAGTGAAATAGTTAGTTATAGGTGGTTCTGGTTCTGAATGAATCATGATACGGTAGGTACTTACGCTTGTGTTAAAACGGTTCATGTATGTTTTATTAGTTTGTATTTAATTCAAAGTCGAGAGTGTGGTATTTTATTATGGTATTTTATTATATTTGTTTATTATCTGTGTTTATGAATAATACCAGAAAAAATAAATTTGACAGTCTCTGTGAAAAATTTTCATAAAGAGTTTTTGCTCCTGCTTTAACAACATAATACCAATAAAAACTGTTTTTTTTTTCTCGGTTTTAATAACAACAATATTAACAGCTAGATTCATGTAACATTTTGATGTTTGAGGGTTGTGATTTTAGAACATTCGTAGTCAGCTATTCAGTTCGGCATTGGTGGCCAAAGAAATTTTGTTTGTTTATTTTTAAAGCACTTTATTTGTTTATATAAAAAAAGGATATTTACAATCACAAAACTAAATGGAAACTGAAAGTAGACAAAGGTAATTAAAATACTGGAGACGAGCAGCCCTAACGCATGGTTACGTACCGCGCGGCTGTAGGTATTTATTTCTTTCAAGCGGCCGAGTTACAATACTGTATGATATTTTTACTGTGGATTGGGCATTCAGTAACCTCACTCACACGGTGAAACAGCGCTGTGGTTGTTACACGCCGGTTTTCTGTGAGGCTGTGGTATCGCTCCGGTCGAGCCAACCCATTCTTGCCAAAGCTTGGGCGCCCAAACTTAAAATCATTAACATCTCAAATCGTTTAAAACAACATTTGTTAAGTACGTAGAGAAGTATTTAATTAATAGATTTTCTTAAATACTCCTCTTTTAGTTTGATACAATAATCAGCTGATTTGCATGCTCTATCGACTCTGAAAAAAAAATAGTTCCATTTGAACATAAGTTAGGCGTTTTCACCGCAAGAGTTCAATGACACCATTGACTCAAAGAAAGTGTTAGGTAATTATTATACGAAATACCTAGAATAATTAAAATATGTTTGAAGCTGATTAAAGACATTGAGGCATATCGACAATATAATTATGTCAGAGCTGTATACTTAGGTACCTATGTCTTTAAAAAACTGAACATCACTGTAGCTAGGTATCTTGCCTTGTCCATATTCCCAATGTGTGGGTTCCAAAATTACTAAAACGTACTCGCGTGTAAAACGGGACGCCAAATGACTTCTAAGCCGGTAGGAATCTGACATTCCTCTTTTTCCCATCGAATAATAAAATAATTACATTAGATATGACTATTATTGTTAAACGGTTTTATTTATAACTAGCTTTCGTCCGCCACTTTGTTCGCGTGGAAATTGGAATAGTGACTTCCTGAAGTTTTAGTTTTAAAAACTATCCTAGACTATGAGTTCCAATCTGTGTCTGTACCAAATTTCGCACAATTAGGTTCAGTAGTACAGGCGTGAAGAAAATAAAATAAACTACATAATATTATAATTACTATCGTATTTATAATATTATGTAGTTTGGATATTTATAATAATATAATAAACCATCAATGATTAAAACTTCCTCCGTACTCCTGATTGCAACACACATGTTTGAACTAAAAGGCATTTATGTTTATAATACTTGTTAAGGAAAAAAGAGGTCGTGGTGGCCCGGAAGTTAAGGCGCCCGCTTCTCATGCATGAGGTTCGAAACCTTGCAAGTACCGATGTGACGTTTTCCAAGTTGTATGAACTTTCTATGATTATTTATCATAGAAAGTTCATACATAATTATTTATCATAGAAAGTTAAAGGAAAGCATCGTGAGGAAACCTGGACTTATAATTTCTAATTATAAGTTTGAAAACGCCAATCCCCATTGAGCAAGCGTAGTGATCACTGCTCAAACCTTCTCTGTGTGAGAAGAGGCCTTTGCTTAGCAGTGGGCACTTATAGGCTGATGACGATGAAGCGGAATTAGTCATTCTAGTTTCTGACTTAAAGTCAATATTGCAGGTAAAGGCGAGAGCATATGGGACAGGCTCACCCACGCGCACCCAGAGATGATATTAGACCACCAGAACGGCGACGTGGCAGATGGTTCCTACTACAAGGTGAAGGAAGATGTAGCGTTGATGGTGGAGTTGGGAATCAGCTTCTACCGGTTCTCCGTGTCCTGGCCACGGATTTTACCGAACGGGCTGAGCAAGTAAGTAGCAGATCATTGCCTATTTGTATGATTTGGTTTAGTTTTTTTTTATCAGTTCCTTAGTATAGTAATTATCCTAAGGGCTTATTTTGAAAATGTTATGTGAGGAATAAAACTGTTGCTGTCACTGTCTTATACAAACATTCTGAGGCGACAGCATTACAATTATTCCAAAGAAAACTTTTATCTAACTATTGAAAAATCAGCCTAAATCTACTAACAGCTAGGTAAAGACAAATTAATAGCATCTCGAGTGTATTTCATTTTCTTTTGTCTGTTTGCTAAACGTCGCAGACCATTGTAAGTACATCAAAAAGGTTAAGTTAGTGGTTACATGTCGCTTATTTGGGACAATCAGGGCTGCGTTTAAGCAACATTCATCTAGCCATAGTAAATAACGACTTACTCTTGAAAAAAACCGAGGAAAGCTCTACTAGTTTCAAGTCGCGACGGGACTCTTATTGAATCTAATGACAACAGTTTAATGAGTCTTTACTTTCAATTATAGTAGGTAGTTATGTCTCAAGAAAGTAATTACGTATTCGAAAATAAAAAATATTTTTTTTGCACATATACTCTAATAAGTTTTACTTACTATTTCACTTTTGTTTCTTAGCTACGTGAATGAGGATGGTGTCAGATACTACAAGGATTTAATTGCTGAGCTTCACCGCAACAACATTACTCCTGTCGTCACCATGTACCACTGGGATCTGCCGCAGTGTCTCCAGGAACTCGGCGGGTGGACCAATCCTATAATGGCTGATTACTTCGTTGATTATGCTAGGGTATGTTCCTATAGATTATAATATGTAGCTTTAAGTATAATTTTAAAATAAGTTAGTAATCTAAAATATCTAAATTAGCGAAATTTGTTTTGTAGTTCTGGACATTGGACACTACCTAAGCTTACTATCCTACTAGTTTGTAATTATTTCAAATACACTTTAACTAGGTACCTCGAAAGTTATATATTACTTTAGGTACGTACGAACAAAATTTCAAAGTCAGTTCAACGGCTAGTAGTTTAGACTTTGGAGCAAGAACTAGTAGACTTGATTCTAATACCGGTCAACTTCATCAGTTATCACAAGACTACAGTCAACACCCCGCAAACAGCCAATTCGCTGATTTACCCACCACCTGTAAGAATGCCTAATCATTCCCCTCTCCCAATACCTAATCCCCAAAAGTTCGACAACGCACTCGTAACTCCTCTGTTGTTGCGGGTGTCAATGGGCGGCGCTGGTTGCTTATCATCAGGTTATTCGTTTGCAAGTTTGCCGAACTACTCGTCTAACATAAAAAAAAATGTAAGGCATCCTACAATATATTTGGTCTTCACACAACACTTGGTCTTCACTACAGAATATATAGGTACTACTGGGTACTTAATATAACATCTTCTATTGAGAATGAGAAAACTTTTGTCGAGCTCTCTCTTTCACAGGTGCTTCTAGACACTTTTGGAGATGAAGTAAGAATCTGGTTGACATTCAACGAGCCATACAGCTTCTGTGAAGATGGATATGGCGGTCTGGATGCTCCAGCTGCTAATTCCAGTGGCTTCGAAGATTACATGTGTGGCCACAATGTACTCCGAGCTCATGGCATGGTCTACCGCATGTTTGACAACGAATATCGGGAGAAAATTGGAGGTATGCTTAGTGAAAATATTGTGTTGGTCCTTTTGTTACCATCTTTGACATTAGTCACGCCTAAAAATTGCAAAATCTTTAAACATTTATGAGGAATAGTAGAAAAACAGTCGCCTCACATGTAATTATAATATTGATTTTGCTTAACCTTAAGAAAGTTGAGAAGACAGAAAACTTAGCTAGCATACTTTCTTATTGTAGGTTTATTCGAACAAGTAATTAAGGATTTTTGCTTTTTATATTCTGCTTAGAATATTGATTTACCTACATGGTTTAAAATGGGTTCCAGGTCATATGGGTATTACATTAGATTTCGCATGGTTGGAGCCGGCTACGACATCTGTTGAAGATCAACAAGCTGCAGAAACTGCCAGACAATTCTACGTGAGTATGCCAAAACGACTCGGTCACTACCTATACTTCAAGCTTGTAATTTATCTTTCGTTATAAGACTTTCAACCTTATCGATTTAAAATAGTCTAATCTAACTGTTGGATATTACATTTTCGGGGTAACTTGTCACACTGGATTCTTTCTGCACACTATACATATGATCATGTTTTCCAGTTTGGCTGGTTCGCGCATCCAATATTCTCGGAATCTGGAGACTATCCGCCTGTCATGAGAAGTCTCATTGACGAGAACTCAAAGCGGCAAGGCTTCCATCGCTCGAGACTGCCTTACTTTACTTCTGAAGAAGTGGAAATGATACGAGGAGCTTACGACTTCTTGGGCTTGAACCACTATACCACGTATTTGGTGAAACGTGGCTCTCAAAGGCTTAACGTGCAACCATCATTTAAAGAAGATATGAATGCAGTAAGGTTCCAGAGAGATGACTGGCCTAAAACTAATTCTACGTGGTTGAAGGTGAGTTGTGTTTAGTTGAGTAGAGTTAGGAAAATAATCTTTTTGGAATTGTATTTCTTAGTGGGGTCAACTATCTGGCTGCGGTGCAGAAGTATTACTAGTCTGGATACGGGTTCAGGGGTAACGTCTAGCAATGGGTAGGTATAGTCTCTATATGCACTCTTAATATGGCAAAAATCGTCTAAAGATCTTCATATTTTCTTTAAAGTTAGGATGCCTGCATGTAGCTATACACAGCATAACTGATGAATTTGGATTTTTTAGGTGGTGCCATGGGGTTTCAGAAAAGTTTTGAACTGGGTGCGACTGAACTACAGGAATCCTAAGACCTTAATTACTGAGAACGGTGTGGCATTCCCGCGTGGTCTTCGTGACACAAAGCGTGTTAAATTTATCGATAGTTACCTTCGATCCTTGCACACTGCTATATATCAAGATGGATGTTTTGTCATCGGCTATACTTACTGGAGTTTGCTCGATAACTTTGAGTGGACTAGAGGATATACGTAAGTAATTTAATTACATTATAAGATATTTTGTATTGAATGTTTTGCCAGCTTTACTATGATTGCTTTGAGAAACCTAGGCCAAGATATTATGATTTTTTACCATTTATTACCAGTGTTTTCTTTTATAATGCATGTACTTAGATGACTTTTGAAACACAGTAGTAAAGTCACTACAATCTTTTTACACTTTTGAAAAAATTAAATCTCTGCCTCCAAATATCACAAGTTTATATTTAACCATTTTCTTAATTACAGGGAACGTTTTGGTCTATATGAAGTGGATTATCAGTCTCCCGACCTGACCAGGACCGCTAAACTCTCTGCAAAATACTTCACCAATGTAGCCAAGACTGGGTGCTTGCCAAATAACTTTGCTGACTATACTTATGACACTGATTAAGTACTTTGTTTTTAGAACATAATTATCTTGTCCAAATTAAAAACAATCTGACAGCTTTGTGTGAGATACTGAGCTGTGACGTCATTTTCACCACATGAGTTTTTTTATCAAATTATTGACATATTGTTTTTATACAATATACTAAAGATATATACGTAAGTCATTTATAAGCTGACATTCTTATTTAATTCTTCTGATAAGCGTACGTTGCCCTTTTCTAGATCATAATGTTATAATAACAAAATGTATTGTTATAATGCACTTAAGTCTTGATCGTCCAATAACTGTCTATTGCTGTCCAAATTTGGCATGTCACTTAAAACATAATCTCAAAGGTTGATATGTAGGAAGACATTAAAATAAACTTATCTGTGTCTATTCAAACAACTGTTCTTAACGGGAAGCCAACTTGTATACGATTTTTCATATCATAAAGGTTTTTTAATAAATTAATTGAAAATTATATTTTCTTGTTAACTGACAAGTTTTATGCAAATAAATCACCTGAACTTGAACCTGAATGACTTCCTTACGTGAATGCATCTCAATTAATTCACGTGAGTAAGTCGTTATTATCAGTAAATAAATTAAGATCTTCGACAGATACTATTCAAAAATATTTTTGTATACTATGATAAAGTAGTTCAGATAAAAGCGTTTATGGGGTTGGGGCAGGAAAAAAACAAATAAATTGCATCTCAAAAATGTGTTCATTTATTGATTTTTCTTTATCCATACTAGAATAACTTAAAATTATTTAACTGTTTACATGATTTAACCATGATAGTTAACGTAAACTACTTTCTAATAAATATTACTCTATATACAAATAACATTGTATTTTATTATAAACAATTAAAATTACTTTAATTATTTATAAATAGGTACAGTTCTGTTTTTAAATTCGGATTTTAAAAATAGTGTTTGTTAACCAAAATAAAGTCTCTATTGGATTGTTTAAAAAATATGTAAATAGAAAAATATTTACATTTTTAAAATGCATTTGAATGTATTTCATTGTTAAACTTTATTGCCTTCGAAAATAGGTACTTTCAAATCGGACATAATATTAATTTAGCACTAAAATATAGACATAGCCTCTTACTTAAAACATTTTTGGCTGAAGTCTCAGGAATATCAATGATTTACTAATATCATACCTACATTTACATAAACACTTTTATTTATAGTTATAAGAAAATCAGCCATTTCTGTGACAATATTTCTAGTTCATTACTTAGCTTGGTCGTTAAGACCAAATTTAAACTAAGACCAAAGGCACTTTGGTTATAAGATTTAACCGACTAAGCTGGCATAAAGTTGCCGTACCTTTTTTATTGTAATATCAATTATTTTTATAAATTGCAGATTCTAATTTAATCATGCAATCATTTACCAATTAGCCTCAACATATATAATTATTTAATGTTGAGACGTTACGAAGGAAATGTTGGTTTGTTTGCGTTTCAGACTGTTTTCTTGCCGTCTAGAGGGAGCCACTACCGACTTAGGTCTTGTAAGTGTATAACGATCGCTGTCAAGTTTGGTAATGAGATCTTCTACCTACGGAAAGGCCGCTTTTTATCGGCAAATGGCGATCTCGACAAATTATTAATGCGACATAAGTTGTTAGCTTTCTTTCCTCTCTCTTTGAATAATAAATTTAAAGTATAACCTCGAATAAATTCGTTGGTCAATTGACACAGCTTGTTAAAAAAAACATTAGACATTTTCAAACTTTTGATAGTCTGAATCATATTCATAAGTATGTTATAGGTATTTTAATTAATCCGTATTAGGTGTGTATTTTCTCAATGTAATAAATACTGTCGCGCGATCTGCACCGGCTTTTAATGTAAATACGACATATGTAGGTTTTATAGGCGCCTTCAGGATTAATTTCAGAAGTGCAGGACTGACAGGAATTAATCTAACAAGTTTTTCAAGGATCGGAGAGATTACCCGGATGGTAAGCAATCTACGCCGTCTAGGGACACCCACTCGCATTAGGAGAGGAGTTGCAAGTGCAGTGCAGTCCAGCTTTTTTGGGAAAGGCATTTGAGACTGGGGATGGGCGGAATAGGTCCTTTAACTTCACTGGCCTCGATGGCTCATAACGAACCAGCCAATTCGTGTATTTTACAAAGGGTGTAATACTAGTGGGGTATAAAAACTTATTTTTTAGCTAAACCCTCTACTAGTTTTCAAGATATATTTGATAAAATTTTGGTTTACATATAAAAAAACTATAGGTTTTGTAGATTTGTTATTAGACAGAGGATGTCTACTTCCTTACACCTGACTGAAGACGCCCAGCCGTAGTTCGGCTAATTGTTTAGTGTAATTATTATATTACTTGTACAGGGAGTTCACATAACAAAATAAATGTATACAGGTGTCGCTCAGGGCCTTTTGTCGCGTCCTTTTGTCCTTTTGTCGTGTATAATTGACTTATGAAACTGTTCAAAAATATCTTTGGTGTAGTAAGCCAAACCACGGCTAGCTACTCATAAACATTCAGAAAGCACAGTAATCTAGTACTACAAATACTTCTTTTTCAGGCCATTTTAACACTTAGCAATAAGGTCGAAAACCCTGTGAACTTTTTAACATATTAAACCTTATAGCTTTGTGATAAAATTGTAATTTAGGGTATTTATATGTGCGTACGTAGAGTAAGTAATATGTCTCAAGCCTGCGGCATCTTGCACTGGCTGCAGTCCTCCATGCCGTCGCTGAACTCCTCGATCTGCAGCGTCATCTCGAAGAAGTTGTACTTGTCGTGCACCAACCTGGTCGCTTCTTCTAATACCTTCTGTGGACTCACTCCGGTACCTGGAACAGTATGCGAAAAGTAAATATAAGTTTTTAATGACATTAAAACCTTTATTTTATTGCTTGGTTTCTGACATTGACTTTGCCTGCATGGGCTAAAAAGCCCCGTGTGTTATTCCCTAGACTATAATTTTTATTTGTGCCTATATTAGTAGGATTTGTGTGCAACTGTGTTTTAATAGGTGTGAGTGTGTGACCATGTTGTTATGTATTTGTGAGTAATTGTGTGAGTGAGTGAGTGAGTGGAATGTGTATGTGTGTTTTTGAACATGACTGTGTGCTAAGTATTTATGTAAATACTTGTTTGTCTATTAGTATCATAGTGTTTTTATGTATGTGTTTAGAGGTATGTACAAGCTAGGTACCAAATTAGGTAATTGAGTATGTACTGTAATACATACGTATGGCGAGATGCGCGGAGAGCGCGGTCTTGTCGAGTGAGAGTGCCCACATGCGCAGGTTGTGCACGCGGACCACGCCCGGCAGGGACAGGAACGTGTTGGCCACCTCCTGCAGGGGGGGGGGGCATTATAACTAAAATAAACTTTTTTACTAAGCTTGTATTTAGATCATTCTAAAGCCTTTTTACCAGATAAATTTATATGTTGAATGTAATTTGTAAAAAGCTTCAGAAATTTAGTTTTTCATTAAAAAAACCACAAATTAATTATCGAGCTGTATTTTACCTGGAAGTCGACCCCTCTAGGTGATCCCTCCATGAGAACAAGGAGTGTGTCCTTGATGATGTTGAAGGTAGTGATGAGTACTAGCACGGAGAACAGGAACGTGCAGATTGGGTCCACTAGACTCCAGCTTGGCTGTGGAACGAGGTTACAGTTGGCAATTGATTCTTAAGATTATCTATATCTATACTTACATAATAAATCTGTATAGCGGTCAATTCTGTACATGAAATATATTTTCAAAATAACTTCAACAATAATCAGGTGATTAGTAATCGATACTAATGCCAAAAATGTTATCTGTAAAATTTTTGTCTGTCAGTTTGTCTGTATGTATGTTCCTTATAGAAACAAAAACTACTCGATAGATTTTAACGAAACTTAGTACAATTATTATTTATATTCTTGGGCAGGTTATATAATACTTTTTTTTCATCACGCTACATTTAATAGAAGCAGAGCAGTGAAGAGAAATGTTGGGAAAACGGGAGTTAGTTTCTCCATTTTGTAACATGAATGGATTTATAATGTAACCTAAAATAAATGAATAAATATAAAATAAATAGTAGGGACCTGGAAGTAGATGACGATGGCCGCGATGAGTACGCCGGCGCTCTGCAGGAAGTCCCCGAGCACGTGTATGAATGCGGCGCGTACGTTGATGTTCTCCTGCGCGTGCGCGTGTGTGTGCCCAGACGCCGCGCTCTCCGCGTCCGAGTCAGCTCGTTCCTGGACAACGTAGAGTATAGAGTATAGGATTACATTGAAACATACGATCTTTCGTAAAATAATGATATAATTAACTACAATTTGAAAATCGGAAACTAGAGACACGTGTGTGTGTGTGTGTGTGTGTGTGTGTGAGAGAGAGAGAGAGAGAGAAAGACTAATAAAAGAAACTTATATAAGTTATTTATTGAGTGACATTTACCTTAATTTTCTGTTCTGTGACTTTAACAGTGTAATTAAAAAGAAACCCGTGACTTAGTCACCAAAACATCCATTTTCTTGATGCATTTAATAGCCTTATAAAAAAACGTTTGCCATCGATTTCGACACTAAAACCTGCGTTTCCTGATACATATTTGTTTGTTTCCTGTTTATATTTATTGAATTCGGTTCGAATTTATCATGTAAATAGATGTATAATTAAGGAACATTAAGTACGTTTTACGAGGTTTTCCGTCTACTTTATCTTTTTCTTACTTTAAACCCCTAGGTGTGTGTTGAAACCAGTCGGGACATCTCGTGAAACAGTGAGTCACAAATAAAAAAATTGATTTAATATCTCTGGAAATATATACTGTACACAAATTAAGTACCTTATTATTGAGCACAGGGTTGTTTCCTCCGTGTGAGTGTCCGTGCCCGCCTCCACCGTGGCTGTGACCGTGCTGGTGTAGGGTCAGACCCATACTGAAACAACCATCAATCATTTTTAGAAACTTCTGCATCTGGTTATTTTTCTTCTAAATAACCATATTATACTTTAAAATATTTCTATCAGAAAAGACAACATGCATAACAATACGTTTGTTTCCAACTAGTCAAATTCAATACTTTTATCCAAATGTCAAAAACGATACCTTTCCATGAAGCACTGTGTGTTATTTTGCCTTAGTTACGTACATGCCAGTTTTATATTTTTTCTTTATAGATTAACCCTTTATAAACCTATAGAAAAAATCCCCGTTTTGATATTTGACTTAATTTAGGAGATACAAATATTTTAGTGAAAGGTCACTGACCTTCTTAAAAAAGTTTTTCGTCTATATTTCTTGAATGAAGCAAAATTGCAGGCTCTTGTGAACTACCACTAAATTGTGGGTTTGAAATCTATTAATTCTAGAAAGTGCAAGTCTCTAAAGTAACTAGAACGAGAATTAAAAAAAAATTTGACAATTAACGAAAAAAATTAAAAATTAAATAACTGTTTGCGGGTCGCATTTTTTTTTAATTGCATAATATACTCGTGTAAAAGACCTTCAACTGGACAAAATTCTAAATTTGTATCTAGCCAGATCTCGGAGATATTGAGTTTCTATGTTTTTATTAATTTTCTATGGAAATAGGGTTGTCAAAGATGCAGAGTAGTAAATATATTTTTCTTATTCAATTTATTAAATCAATTTAAACTAATCAATTTCTGACTGATCTGTTGGTCTAGTTGTCAGTGGCCCTAACTGTTATGACGGAGGTGGTGGGTTCTATTCCCTCCCAGGACAAATGTTTGTGTGGTGAACATGATCATTTGTTCTGTGTCTGGGTATAATATATCTATAATAAGTATGTATTTAAAAAATATTAAGTATGTTTATTAGTTATCTAGTATTCATACCTCAAACTGCTTAATTTGGAACTACTAAAAAAAAGTTGTAAACACTTATTTATGACATATCTTCGCTATCGGATTGATTTATGATTTCTTCAGACGTCAACGTAATATTATTTTCTTCTAAATCTTCGGAATCTAAATTATGGTAGTTAACATTGTCTGTTGTTACGCTTAGGAGTTGAAGCACTGATTTTGATAGGGGCAAAGGTTTTTTATGTTTATGACGTGTACTTAGTGTTAATGTGGATATATATGGATCGGAAGACTCTAATGCACGGTGAAATAAATCTAATATTGTTGTTTTCCTGTCTAATTTCCGAGTATGGTGTTGACGATCATAGCGCCAGTATTTGTTCCTTGACTCGCCTGCTTGTTCGGACAACATACCTATGGGTAACGGGCTGGCGTCTATGATCTGACGGCCATGAATTAATATCTTGTGCAGTGTGACAGACATATAAAACCAGTTGTATTTCTCCACGTATTTTGCAGCTACAGATTTACAAAAGGCTTCAAATTTTGCAGCATCTATGTATAAGCCACTTGACAGCGCTACTAAAATGGTATGCAGATTATCCACCAACCATGTCTCTATACCTAAGATATCTGCAAATGTTTGCCGGTGTTGGTCTGACAGTGCTGTTCGTGCTGTGTTCCCGTCATTGGTTGTTCCCGAATTCGGACGAACGACATCAACCAAAAGTGACAGTTTGTCTCTTAATGCGGTTTGTATTTTTTTTTCCTTTCCTCAACAATTGTGGCTGCCGGTGATTTTTTATTAATCCTCCACTTCATGACTGCTGGATCATTTTTGTATCCTAAGTGCAGTAAGAATTCAAAAATTCTAATCCAGGCATGTAAGGGACTTATTCCATGACGCAAGGCTTCTGGATTTACAGGTTTGTTGATGACAACATCCAATTGATTGAACTCCGTTGCTGTAGCTCCACAACAAGCACAACGTAATTGTGAAGTGGTCCCAGTAATTACGTTGAATACTTTACCATCTATTACAGTTAAATATAGTTTCGTATCTGAAATTATAGATTGACCTTCATCAGTTTCGGCATAAAGCGGTGTCAATTGATCTATTTCAGCCTGTACCCGATTTTTTTCTTCGGTGATAAGTTCTTTTGTTTCATTACGATATTGAATTTTTAATGGTCGACAAAACCTGTACGATTGTGGGCAGGGGTTAGACCACAAAACAAAACCGTCATTCGTTTTTAATCGTAAAGGGATATACGTTGTTGTAAATAAACAATTTTCATTCTCGTTATCACCATCTAAAAACTTCTGTTTATAAAAAGCCTGTCCTGTACTGCCATCGAACCCCCAAGAACCCTCAAATCTACAATGTAATATGTTTTTTTGCTTTTGTTTGCAATATTGTGAAATGCTTTCGGTACTCAATTTAATGATTCGGCGGAATGTGTGTAGTAATAAGCTGTGAACTGAAACACTTGCTTCTCTTTCAGTAATAACTATATCTTCGTCAGGATAACACATTTGTTTGGCTATTTTTAATTTAAAATATGGAGGATAAGCTGGAAAACCTCTTTCTTTCAAATCTTTCTGTATGATACTATAATCTTCCACAGTTAGTTTCCTATCAATGACTAAAGAAAGGGCTTCCTCAGGGGTATAGGGTTTGGCTTCGACTTTCGCTTTCATGGACGATGCAATTTTTTTAGGACGAGTTGGACTTTTCAGGCACTCATTAATAACGAACTCTAATTCTTGAGGAGAACTTTTAACAAGTTTTTCGCCGTGAATTTCATCTGTTACTATTTTCGACATCATTTTAATTATTTTTGACCGCGGCTGATCTTGAAGAGACTCCTCTAAACTTTTTCTAATTCGAAGCATTTGACGAGAGTTCATTTCATTTGAAGCAGATGGACTATTATTAGACGTTCCGGGTATTGTATTATTAGTAGTTGATGGAATTTCATGTGAAGGTCCAGGTACCGGTTCTGTAAACAAAATATTGCTTACAGAACTCATATCTGATGATTCTGGTTCTTGAGGTTTTAAAATATAATCAGAAGGAGAACTTGTATTTAATTCTATAGGAGATTTTTCTATTTTGGTTGGTATTGGAATATCGAAAATTGTAGAAAGCCATTTCTCATTCTTTTTAGTAAAACGTTTAAAATTTCTTTTGCTGTTATTATAAAGCTTTTCACAATTATTAATAAATTTGGATATACTATCTTTAAGGTTTTTATTATGTACATCAAGATTGTCAGGAATACCTGTTGGGTACAATGCATTTAAGATTACCATTGTGCGATCGTTGCTTTCTAGGTCGCCCGGTCTTTGTTTAGACCCAAATTGTTTGGCCTTTTCAACTAAAACATTATAAATTTCCAATTTCGTTAGTATTCGCGGATCCGTATTCAGGCTTAGGTCGTCGGTGATCATTGCCTCTCGCTGACCAACATGAGGGTTGGCGCCCTCATGCCCCACTTGCAATAAGTCCTCTGGTCGGGGCCCAGACGGACATCCCCCAACAGGACGGGTCAGTACCTGCTGAGGCAAAACAGTGCTATGGGTCTTTAACGGCTCCATGACACCTCACCCCCGCTCCTCCAGATATTATGTAAAGGGATTGGGTTTTAGCATTTGCCTAACGAGGGCGGACCCCTTCCCAATCCCACACAATATCCTTCATTGAAGATAGATCATATACAAAAGTAGTGACCGAATTCAACCGTAAAAATTTAATTAGGTAATTTTGATTTCGACTTTTTGCATAATTTTGACATATAAATTTAAATTGTGTAAACTATGCACGTCATAATTTAAACTGACTATTGATAATACCTACCCAAGACAAAAATAATTAAACAGTAATGTTTTCATGAAGCACACAAATTTTAGTGACAACCCTAACCGACAATTTAGAAATTCAATAATTCCGAAATCCTGGGTCTGTTGCAACTGAGTTTTTTTGTGGTGATATTTATTATAGTGATCAACATTTAGGCTTAATAAAAAACGCGACCATGAATAGAATGTCCTGAAAAAAAAAATTCAAAATCATAGAAAAAAAATATTCTCACTTGTGTGAGCAATATTTTTAAAGTTTTCAAGAAAAAAATGGTTCAGGTAGGGAATTACTATCACACCATAAAACATTTCGTGTAAAAATCAAAATAGAAAACGAGATATTGTGTTTCTATGGTTTTTAAGGATTTTTCTCGATTTTATTTATTTCTCTTAAACTACAGTAGTTAGAGCCGGCGGAGTTTTTTTAGGAGTTTTGTTTGATTATAAGCTTTCCGAAATACATATAAAACGGAATTGTCCGAACTAAGGCAAAATAACACACAGTGTGAAGGTATAAAAAACTGAGTTATGACGTCATAGTATTTTTGCGTCAAATAGCTTACTTATTTATTAATAATTATGGCTACAAAATATCTAAAACTTAATGTATCGGTCAATCGATGAATAAAAGTATAGTTATTTTTCAATATTTCATTGTATTGAAACGTCGAATTAATTTATTTTTGACCTAGGAAAGTACCTGGGTACTTGTAAATAAATATCTATTCCACTTCATGGCCTACAATCGACTAGATAACGAACTTTAGTTTATCCACGAAAGTTCATAAATTTTTGCTGACAATAAAAAAATATTCTTTTTAATATCTTACCTACTACAAAAAACCGTAATAGAAAATTTACATTCAATTACGTTATTTCAATTCCAGTTTGAAGATAAGACAGAATTAAAGAATATAAAATACCCACCTATGTACCAATTAATAATTCAAATGTGTAGTTGGTAGTTTACAACCAGTCAAATTCAATACTTTTATTGAAATTAATTCGCAACATACTATGTATGACATTACGGATAAAAATGCTAGAAAAAATCTAAAATTAATGTACTAATATGTCACATATGTGAATGAAAACATAATATAGATAGATATTATATTTTAATAATTACTGCACTGGATAGGCAAAATAATTAATATTTGACCTATCAAACTACCCAATTCTTTTCTGGAACTAACATGAGATTTGTTATGATTTTGTGGGGAAATTCATCAAATGGCTTCTCCCGCCTAGGCTCGGGTGGGAGGGAGTGTCAAACTCTTACTGACTAACCCCCCCCCCCCCGTTCCTTCTCCTGCTCTGGGCCGATGTAGCGGTGCCTCATTGCATTTGTCCCGCAACCCAGCCGGGGTTGCGGGGCAAGCAAGGGACATCAGCCCTATAGGGCCCCGTCTGTGATGGCCTAATGGCTCTTGGAACTTACATGAGGTTAACGGCAACTCCTACAGCGGAGGTGATGAGCATGACGGTGGCGTTGATCTCAAACTCCTTGTATATGACGCGCTGTATCGCCATGTAGACCAGCACTCCCGTCACCACCCAGATCAATAATACTGATGTAAGCGCACCTATCACCTCTGCACGGTACCACCCGAACGGCATTCTGTGAACATAATTATAAATACAGTTGCTTAAATAAGGTTATTAGAATCTGGTTTATATGCAGTGTCAAACAAGTATTTTTTTTTTAATAAACATGTTGATGCCTAAAAATTATGATGCTCAATAAACATTTCTGAGATTAAACCAATGTCTCTGATAGGATTCAAATGAATATAAGTATGCCATCCTTATTGTTGGTCCAGCTCAAGGTGGCAGGCTAATAGAAAAGCCCTTAGTACGGTAGTTTTCAACAAGTTTAATTAAATACTTACAATTCCAAATTATGATGACGTTTTTATGCGTCAAATAGCTTTCTATGTAGAATTTTTCAATATCAATTTACCTTTGTTTTTGACCTAGGGAACTACCCTATAGATATTTTCCAACGAATGACACGTATTATGTGTGGTCTTACCGTCTCGTAGCTGGCCTGCTGGACACCCAAAGCGAGAACAGCGATATCATAAAGCTAGCGAAATCTGTTAGAAGGTGGGCAGCATCTGTGGCTATCGCTAAACTGTTTGATAAGTAACCACCTGTAAACACCAAAATATGTAAATTAATAATCTTATTATATTTCATCAAGGTTTTATTAGCTAAGTGAAGGAGTTATGTTTCAGTACAATTATTAAGTTTTGACCGAATTAAGATCATGGTCTTAGAATAATTCAGGTGTAATTAATTTAAGATCATGGCCTGGCAAAAAAATCGGCACGGGAACGACTGTGTGAGTTAGTTTCGTCTTGTAGGAGTAGTTTGCGGAAGCACAATGCTCCCTCCACCCCCAACCCTCTAAGGTGATCTATTTTCACGTTTGCACCTTATTCAGTATAAAAAATAAGGCTTGTGTTAACGGTCCATTAGAATAAGTACGTACTCAGAATGCAGCATCAGTGAAGTACAGATTGACGGACCTATATAGTTAGTTTGAAACAAAATGTATTTTGACTTCGAAGAAAGGAGGTATGTCTAAAGAGTTTGAAAGACAGCGTGGTTGATTTCTACATTGAGTCTTTACGCAATACAACGCAGTATTTACATAAAACCTTTTCGTTATTGTAGTCATGCTTTATGAAAACAATATGAAAATCGGCCACGTGCCATGTTGATAACCTACATTAAGATTACACCCACCGTATTTGATATTCCTTAAACGTATTTATTCATGCCATTGTTTTCGAATATAGTATTTATAATTTACCGTTGAGTTATGTCGCAGAAATATATGTATTTAAATATCTGTGAGATGAATTGTATAAAATTTGATTGTACAATCTACTGTTTCTCGCAGATGTCACCACTGGCGTTTTACTTCCTCAAATTACAATAGCTTAAGCTAGATAATTATTAATATTAGCGAACTTTTTTTGATTTTCACTGTATTACCTAGATGTTTTTTTTTATTCCGCTATAAGAATGAACCTGCTTTTAGATATACCAATTAATATTAACTAAGTACAATAGTAATGTTACCAAATGTTACTCACCTACAATTTCACCTATCATAAATATAACACATAGTATGCTGGCTATTATCAATTTTCTTCGTGCTCTTTTGTCTATTTCTTCATTCCTCGATCTGTGACAATGCCCTGAAACAACAAATAAGATCCATTAGTACCAATGACAATATAACCACACCACCAATGTGGTTTTTATTCTCTTTGATTAGTACCTATGAAATTGTTGAGTAGAAAACAAATTCAATAAATCAATACCCTACTCTACATGAGATGTTTGTATAAAAACGTTATATCAATTGCTAGCTACCTGAGGGTTCCTGAGCAAAGCGTAATTTTTTCTTCTTTGATAAAAGGAATATCCTAAACAAAAAATCGAATTCGAACCAATACGAAGAGTCGAACTCTTAAGCTTAAAACGCTGTCCCACTCTAGGATTTTCTCCTATGTCGTGGGTGTGTTTACAAGCATACAAACCTACCTCGTACGTAACACCAAAAATTGTCCGATATTGTGTGGTGTGTGATGTGGGGATGAAAAAGGCTGTCGACTGAGTGAGAGCGAGATGGTGTGAGAGAGACGGTGAATAAGGATCACGACGGAAGACGAATGATTAAAAGACGTATTCTAATCGATATAAATTATTTTAAAGACGAGATTTAAAACAAGATTAAGAGACGATCAATACCTTGATTTCCCACAATTATACCTATTTATTTTATTCGAATACGTGCAGTAATTTTTATGTAAACGAGTTTCAATAATTGCAAACTTTTATGGGTTACGTTTGTGAATCAGTTTTAATTCCTACAACATTCCTTTACTTTCTAAATTACTGATTACTTACGAGCAATTTGATTAGTGTAACTGTGCATCAACACGAGATTTGATATTGATAAGGAACTATGTCGTCTAAGAGGTCTTTGCTGATTTATTGAATCTATCGAAAGACGACTTGACATGAGTCCTATTCTCAGGCGATGTTAATACTGGTGAAAGATCGACTGGATATTAAACCAATATCCATATTTTGGTTAATACTACAGTCAAGAGCAACGGAAATGCTGTTCGGAATAGGGCATGTTCCGTTGAGGCATCGAAATTCAAAATGTACTGAAATAATACACATTATCCGTTTTTGTACAATCACATCAACGTCGGCGATAATGCAAAGACTAATAAATATTTTATTCTCTTTGAAAACATCACCGATTCAACGCTCAGACATGCCATCATGACACTGACAGAAGTAATTTCATTCCGTTTGTTTTTAATTTCTAATGACTAAGCAAAAGCAATGTACGTTGATATGAGCTATACACAAAACACTAATACTAAATGCCAAGAAGCCTAAGCCAGCCAAATTCACTTGTTTTTAAGACAGCAAATAAATTGATTTAATTAATATTAAAGAAGAAATACTTATCAAAGGATTAATTTTACAGTTAAACAAGTAATAAACAAAACAATAGACTTCAAGTACCAAGACCTTACTTGTAATTACGTACAACTTTAAAGATACATACCCCATGTCATAATAACATGACGTCACCGTAACTGAATTCACAACCTTCACGGCTATTAAGCCGGAGATACAATAAATGTAGTAGAAGCATACATTTCCTTGCATTTTGAAGCAGGATTAGAAAAATCTCAAATCCACTAAAGACAAAGAAATGATTAGCAGAGAACAGCGATTATCAAAGGAAGAAGGTACTTTAGTTAGACCACCAAGAAAAGTGGTAAACCATATTCGGGTTGGGTATTGATATTCAATAAAACATGATACAAGGGAAATAAATGCCAGATGCAGAGTATTATAGTCAATCAAATATTCGCCAAGAAGCATGACATATGATGGAAACTAAAAGATGTATATCAATCGTTCTAGACTGCATTCTATTTTATATTGCACTTGAGAGTTGAAAGCTTAGATAACACAGTTCAAAACTTACTTTCAACTTCTGTAATGCTTCCGTTGCGTTGTTCGCCATCGTCGCCGTCTGCGCTGGTTTCTATGACCGCACAGCATCCTGTGGAAGGGTTGCCGTGCACGCAGAATATTACCCGCCGACCTCGCGCCGGACTGTCTGTGCCGTACGATACTTTGCCCTCTTTGAACCTGAAAGAGAAGAATTACCTAAATGAGTCTTTTGTGAAGACCTCTAAAATTGTGATTATAATAAGGTAACTGTAAGACTTTTTGTGTTTATCGGAAACGATTAAAGAAGAGATCCAATGAGTTCATACGATTTCAAAAAAGATTCGTTCAATACGGAAAATCTAGTATAGTTTTTTTGATATTTGCGCATTATTTTAAATTATGTAAAGATGAAATATTCAGTACAATTACAGATCACATAGTAAATTGAATTAAATTAGCTATTTAGCTGTGATGCTGCACGTAGTGTCAAAGGTCAATTTGTACGAAGGTGAAGAGCGTTTAATTGAAAAACACGGGAACAACAGCTGTGCGGAAAAGCGGAATAAATGAATTAAGTCAGTTCCTCGTCACGGCTGGAGGCTTTCTTGGTAATGATGCTAGGTTTTTGCAGTCAATCTAATTGTCCCTTATAATTAATTTCGCATTACACTGCGATTTTTTCTACAGACGCAGCGCCCAGAACTCTTATAATACTTCGGTTTTCACATTGCTGTTGTAATAAAAACCTTATTAAAACAGCAATGTATTACTTAGTAGGTCGGATTGCGTCTATCTATCTCCGTTGCTAGTTTTTTTGCTAAATATCTCCTATCGAACCTTTCCTTAAAATTTGGCTTAAAGTTTGCTAAAATTTCAAATTGATGTTCGAGTTGCTGACCATTTTGAGTCAAAAAGCCATTTGTCGGTCAAAACATTGGGCTATCCGTATCAAACTCTAATAACAATTTAAACAGAATATTAATTTAAATTAAAACGTTCCCAATTTTATCCATTTAGGCGTCTACCTAGGTACTTTAGTTCGGCAATTTCGAATAACTATTGAGGCAGTTTGTTTTATAACTTCGTTAAGTAAATAATGGTTCGTGCAGAACTGTATGAGCCATACAATGGTGTATTAACATTTGGCCGCTATTTTACAGCGGTTATCTAACTGCTCCAATAACAAAACGGAGTCTGTGATATAGCTCAATACCTATACAGTAATTCAGTAGAACTAGAATCATAGAACATTAGCATTACATATGATTAAATTACTTAAAGAATAAACTAAGTCGATCGTACAAGTATATGTACAGGTATATCAATAAATTTATACCTATACCTATTTATATCAGTTATTCTCTGTGCTGTTATTAAACAAGACCGCTGCGACTTCAGCTGCAGCAGGACCTAACAGGGTCAAAGTAGTAATACGGTAGCCGATGTTATACTAGACTAGGTATAATCATCTATCTCTATGCTACTAAATTTCTTTCAGGTCCATTGAGTAATTTTAAAGAGTTACAAAAATACATCCAGTTTTTAATATTAGTAGGTTGTGATCATTCACTATTTCTCTAAGGTCGTGGTCGTCGTTCAAGTTCATGAAGCCTTCCATGACCTCAACAGTAAATTTCCATAAACATCCAATTTCGTTCCAGTACACAGACAATAGTGAATCTGTGACAACGGAAAACATGTAGATTATCCCATTTGTGCAGTCAGTCAGCCAATGACTGAATAACAACGTTTACTATCATTGCAGATAGCTATCAAATCATCAAGCAAACTGGTGTTCACTACTCGTAGTACTTAGGTAGATAGCTACCTAATTTGATATAGATAGTATATTTTCGTATTTCTTATCTGTATCTGGGTTTGAATCAAATTGGCGGGAAAAGTTGGCGCGCGGTATTTTTTTTTTTATGTTTTGCTTTTAAAGCAGTACAAAAGAAAATGTTTTCAGGAATAGAACAAAGAAGATTCTTTAGTGGTGACTGCCGATTTTCGATTATTTCGTAAAATTGATCGTGGATTGCTTGCATGTGGAATAATAGTTAATTCTGGTGTAGCTTTGAATTTGTTATTACGAAACGAACAGTTCCAATGTCTCATTGTGCCTAATTAAAACATTATTATTAATAACTTCTGAAGACATTATCTAAGAAAAAAATACTAAGCACTGTTCATAAAAACTAACAGTGATTAGAAAACAACATACCTACACCATATCTCATCAATTTACACATAACTTCTATCTCTTTACATATCTGTAGATAATTAGAATTAATACTCAATGTAAACCGATGTATTTGAATGCAAAACATGTATTATCGTAGCTAATACAAGTGATATTATGTTATAAACAATATAACGTTATCTACATTTAATAGTACTATCGTGAGATTACGCGAAACCTTGTAAAGTTCATGTGAGTTGGTTGTGGCGAAGGCGATGTAAGGTGATTTGCTTTCTAATTACACTTTTTTAAATATTTATACTCAATAGTACATGTATGGCATTTTGAAACTATTTATGGCTTTAGTACTTACTTTTGCGTAAAATGTTCGTAAAAATATTGAACTGATATTTGCACATATAGGTAGGTATACCAACTAAAAGTGTTATTAATTATAAAAACAATATGATACTTTTTGTACCGTTTACACAATGGTAGCCGTGAGGTGCAAATTACCTTTATGCCTAATAAAAAATAAATATAATAAGTTTTACATTTATTAGAATTGAGAACAGTAGACTATATTAACAAATATAACCTATTTCCTTGAATATTTAAGACTTTAATAGATAGCGAGATAAGATTTGATGTCGATGTCATTTCTAATAAATTTACAAGTAACTGTTACTTGAAATACTAATGTCACATATGTATAAACTAGACGTGTTAGGTTTAAATTGAGATATTGTACATAGATGTTTTAGGCCTATCCTACTATCAGCCGGGGTTGCGGGTTAAGCGCAATGTGGCACCGCGGCCTCGGCCCAGAGCAGGAGAAGGAACGATGGGGTTTTTAGTCAGTAAGTCTTTTTTTTATGTAGTTGATCGGCAAACGAGCAGTCGGATTACCTGATCGTAAGCAATTAGCGCCGCCCATGGACACCCGCAACGGAGGAGTTACGAGTGTGTTGCCGACCTTTTAGGAATTAGGGATTTGGAGATTTAGGGATTGAGGAGGGATTGGGGGGAAGGATTGGGCCTTCTGTCTGACATTCTCTCTCGCCTAACCCTAGCGGGAGAAGTCATTTGATGATTTCCCCTGACAAAAAAGGGCCTATCCTACTACCTTATTAATTTTATATTTTCCCCTGACCAAAAAGGCTTATCCTACTAATTTTATAAATGTGAAAGTTTGTGAGAATGTATATAGATGTAGGTTTGTGATTCTTTCACGCAAAACTGTAGGACCGTTTTGGTTGAAATTTGGTTTGTTAGATAGGTGATGCCCTGGATTAACACAAAGCTGTTTTTTAGGAACATAGTCGCGGATATAAGCTAGTAGTATCTCATATTTTATGAACAATAACTAATGAAACCGAACGTAACAAGAAGTAGAGTTAAATACAATTTGTTCGAAATAAATTGCAAATTGCACTTGTTATTTCATTTACCTCGCGTTTACTCATCTTCAACTTAGGAGAATAATTAGCGCAAAAAGAAAAAAGAACAATAAGCAACACAAATGAACGGTAGCACAAAAATTTTCACATCACTTCCAATTGCTTAAATGTAAAAATGTCCACATAAGGTGTTCGAAATATCAAAAATATTTCATCGTTTTATCAGACACTTATCAGTAATGTAACGTCAGGTATCGTATCGAAAGATTTTAGGGCAGTCGGGTTTAACGACCCAATTACAATAGGCCCACTTGACCTTGTTCAGAGCAAAAGGGGGAATCACGTTCACGTGATTTAGATAACGTATATATATAGAATAGGATATGTTTCGTCTTCGTAGTGTTTCGTATTAAATGTTGCAATGACTGAGAATAGCTTGTAAAGTTCAAGATGTTGAAAGGCACGTTGGAAATGGCTGCTACCATTGTATTATCATCTGAACAAAGTAAATTAGCCTGTATGATCAATATTTTGATAGAAGAAATGTAGGATGAGCTAGAAAAAATCGATTCTACGCTAACATTTATGTAGAACATTATGTAGTTTATGTAGACAGCAAGAAAAGTATCTGTCGAAAAGACTAAAGAATATAATCACATAGGTAGTTATCATTTATAAACGACAACCTAAACGTAAAATAAAACAAAGATCACATAACCTCAAAGACAATACAACCAGGTGGAACTGTGTCGTAATGTAACAAAAAATCTATAGTTTACATCCGTATTACATAAATATTGAAGGAACGTATAAAATATAGTGTTTGTTGCTCATGCGCAGCGTGGGAGCGTGCATTGTGTCTCCACATAACATGTGAGTAACGCCACACGTGGACTCAAATTGTACAATTTTGCAGACAATGGCGGCTACTACGGTTATCATAATAATTGAGATATTATTTTTGTTTGTATTTCTGCGTGATGAATCGAGATGTTTTTCTAGTTTATCTGTTCAGAAAGTATCGAAATGTAGGTGCAGGGTATTGAAGATACTTCTGATATTTTAAATGACGTGCAAAACGGTCAGTTGGGATAAAAACCCGGCTCTGTGTTTGTTTACTGTCATTGACGTTTGGCTCCGAATATTATAGTGTTTTATTTTTAGTTGAGATGTTAACTTCTCGTACTTACTTATGATCTACACAAAACGAACTCAAAATTCACACATTAGCATGGAGACAATGTTTTCAGAAATGAATACATAATCAACTGTATTTTTACAATTTAAGATTAGTTAGGTAGAAATACCGATATAATTTTAGTACATTTAGTGATATTTTGGTCCCAAAACCGACTACAGAACGTGATAGTTCCAAGGTTCCATCTCCAGATTGCACAGTATTCAAATATTCTATTGCACATTCTTTAATAATAGAAGGGAGGAGCTAGTTACAAATGACATTGGAGTAAAAGTTTGTATTAATTATTTATTTATTTACATCTCTATCGTCCTTAGGAAAAATAGGCTTGTAATGTACCTAATTTAAATTATTGCCAAGGCTAAAAAAAATTAAAAACATGTTCTTATTTGTTATGACCAGGTAAGTTCACGGAAATGAAACAGCGAGTCGTTCTAATCCTAACAAAAGATAAAAATTGTTATCAGTGGCTTTAACAAAACTAAACGTACTCATATTGAAATCGCGTGTTTTTTTCTAATTAAAGAATGTTACCAGAATTGGTGCGTCTTATCTTTCAATCGATTTTAAATGATGGAAAATTAAGCATTTCGATTGATTGATTGTCACAATTTTTATAGAACGTGTCTTATGGTATATTTTATATTTATTGCCAGTATCATTATTTTATATGCTTGCTTACCTACACTAAAGGAATATAATACATATATAATATAATACACACATATATATAATACACTTATGGAATAAAAAAAACTAAGTAAGCGTGAGAGAGCCATATTTCGGCGAGAATTGGCCTCACAGCGAGAAATCGGCGCAAAACAACACTTGCGTAATATTTCGGCATGTAAGTAAGGTTCCCGGAGACCCAATCCTGACCCCATTCTTAATATCCTCGAATCCCTACGCAACCTACGCGTTACTCTTGTGATGCGACAGTCCATAGGCGGTGCCGATTGCTTAATATCCTTCATGGTAATATCAGAGCCACCTAACCACCCTATTCAAGATGAATATCTGAAACCTGTAAGGGCAATTTTACATATATTTTTTAAATCTATTCAGCTTCTTCTAGCCATAAACGACTGTCATAGATGTTCATATATTTAGATAGTTAGATGGTATTGTGTAAATACATCACTTATCTAATAGACAGGGATTATAAAGCAAACGAACCGAGGTCGTTAAACGGGTAAACAACGTGATACACGTTCATTGAAAACAGAATACAAATGTTAGACTGAAAAAAATACTTCAATTTCTGATGGACGCTACAGTAGTGCCTATTGGACAAACAATAAGCGACATATTAGCATGAGTGACAGACACGTGTCAGTAAATTGTAGTTATGATACGTAGATAATAGGTTTTTGCTAATAGGTACAATAAAAAAACATACAATAAATACATAATGGATATTTGCTAATAATATTATTCATGTAGGTAGGTATCATATTGTAATCTAGTCTCAAAGAATATCTAGTCACGTTTAGTCTTTTACTGTTTTGCCAGTGAGAGAGTTGACTAAATTGTTTTATTAATAAGAATTGTTAATTACTTTGTGTACCTTTGTATAAGAAATATAATAAACTAACACACTATAATAAAATAACAACATAAATTAATACCTTTTTAATGTTAATTATGAAAAACATATTTGTTTTGGAAATTTTCCTAGCATGCGTAAAATAGAATTAATTTATGTCTAAATAAATAATTAATTACAACTTACTGCAGCAAAGGCTTGGAGTCTGTCATTTTGCTCTAAAAATCACAACACAACACCAAAAACACAATAATATAAATAAAATACAAATAAAATCTCGTGCTGAACGTCAAACTGTCATATTAATAGCGTAACCGGGTGAATACTAATTTAAATCTAATAGCTATTAAAGCTATCGCCCCGTTATCTCGACACATCGAGTAAACCACTCCCTGCACAAATTGTAGGTAGGCTGATAACTGCAGCGACTACCGACTGATAAGTAATATTACGATGGGAACGGTATGTAAATATTGTTGTAGCAAGGACCGACTTCTCAGAAGGGTACATTGGTCCATTCAGAACAAAAACAAATGAATCGTGTCGTGTGCCTGCTACTCTATACCTTATGAATCCATAATTATAACATTCCCTGAATCATCACAATACTTGTTTGTGCAGCTAAGCAACGTTTCAAGAACACGATTCGCAATTTCATACTTTCTGTTGGTGACACCGCTAATAAACAAGTAGTTAAATTTAGTAAATTTGAAAGATTACAGTTGTAAAATGTTATCGCAGATTATCGCAAGGATTATGAATGTATTAAGCGTATTGATAGTAAACAATGTATAGTAATTATTTTATATTACTTTTCGGGTATGATTTGGTTTTTTAACATCTTGGGTTATTCAATATAGCACCACTGACCCATGAATATTTGCCGATTTCAAATTGTTGTCACGATTAAGGCAAAAACGTATTGATGGATAACAACAACTTCATTAGTGTGCTACCTATGCACTTTGATGAGTATACATATATAGCAAAGAAAAAATGGATTTCATTTAATTTGAGTTACTAGTCATGGTTCATTACTTCAAATGTTATATTTCTAGTAGGTAACCAGTAAAACCTCCTCCGTCCTATCAACTACAGGCATCTCTCGTGGTTGCTAAGGTTCTTAAAAACTTAACGAAAGTGTCACCTCCAAGTTCTGTAAATTGGTGGCTATCTTATCACAATGTCCGGATACTACAAATAATCCAAGATTATAATTTATCTACTAAATGTACAGGTTACGAAGGGAGCCATGTTTGTACAGGGTCTATGCAAGCAGATACTTTGACGACTATGTAACTTTTGACTATACTGCCATGAATTGTGTTCGACTAGTGTTGACCATGAAAGAAATGGTCATGGCAAATCGATATTTAAATATTGTATAATCACTTAGTAATAATATCAATTTGCAAAATAGCTGCATTCAATTCAATTTCAGGTAATTTCAGTTTCATAATTCAAATGAATCATTGCATTTGTATAAGTTGGAGACAGACTTAAAATTACAACATTATATTATTTTACTGGAAGCATTTTTTTGACAATTCAATGAATTATGAAAATTCCAAGAATGAAGACTAAATTTATTATATTAAAATTGTATTTTTTTCTCAAACTCCTTAAACTACTGGATCATAATGATCAAGGATAAAAACATGAATAATTTAAGAAGCACCTTTGACTTATTTAATTTACATAATTTTCAAAATAGTCTAAGCAAAGCTCTAACAAGAAGACCAACTTAAAAAACAAGAAAAATACCAATATATCATTTCATTGGACGAAAAACTTAAGTCACTCCTCAGTTAAATGATCAGCCCGGCCGCGGTACCTAACACTATTGCGTTTGCATCCGCGGTTGCGGGTTGTCGGAGTTGCGAATCAAGCGCATTAAGGTTCCACAGTCTCGGGATGGATTAGAAGAAACAGGATAGTTTTTAGTTAGTAGGAGTCTAAGATACAATCTCGCCCCCGAAAAGTCATTTGAAGATTATGCTCATTTAAAAAAAACCTTGTAAAGACTGTGTAATCAGCGCCTACCGTACTTTGCACGTTTATCTAAGTATTTATGTGAAACACATGCTATTTTAATTGATGAGGCGTGATCGTGACCGTTTTCTGTGTCGTGTCAACATTTAATTAGTAAAAGGTCGGCTATATCGCATTTCATTAACCATTTTGTTACGGGTAAATCCGTCTGTTAACATTGGACATGCAGACGTTTTCATGGACATTCAGAGACCTTTATGCTATCCTGATTCAAAAATATCTGATAATAATAAATAGACCTTAAAGTATATGCCGTATTTAAGTGTAAAATTATCGATTGAGATTAAGAGTTGAGTACCGGAACTCATCGGAACTCTTCTGCACTTTGGTTTGTTTTAGTTCCTTGCACGTCTGCCAAAGATCCGAGTACAAGTCCTCTTAAACATAAAGGACATAAATAGATATATAGGTAGTAAACATTCACTAACAATGTGTTAACCATGCATATGCAGAACCACTTACTTAGGCATGGCTGTCCTGTAATCCTTATCAACTGATGTTAACCACACGTGCACTGACGTCATCAAACATGCACATGAACTACATAATAATTAACGTATGCATAATATGCAAGTTTTCGATGTAATATTAATTTATCGGCGTCAATATTCACTATCATATGCATACGGCATGGCATAGCAATGTCCTCATTTAAGTCCAAAGTACTCGTCATGATAAAGCCAAGTATTTAATTAAACATTAGTTATAGCTGTTAATTTAAGGGTCTGTTGTTCACCTCGTGGTAGACCACCATGTGTTTAATTTACTATTGATGCGCTAGTTAACCCTGAAGATGACACAATGGACGGAGATGTGTTATTATCAACTGCTCTCTTGCCGTATCTTCTAAATATTGAAGGATTTTATGGCGTTCTTTATCTTGTATTGTAAGTTTACCAATTGTTACCGAGATCCCCATTGACACAGACACAATGTAGCGTACTTGCACGATTGCACATAGGTACCGTAGGAAAAAATGAAACTTATCTTAATGTATTGTGTCGAATCTGAGTTACAGAATGTAATAAAATCTACCCAAGTCTTACATAATAAATTACCTACAGATCGGCATTATGTTAATTACAATGTTTCTTTCTCGTAGCCTTTGACGACCTGAGTCCGGCACGGTATTGTATTTGAATGAAATGGAGTATTTTACATAGACTTTGTCATCTGTCCCTCTTACCAACTAGCTGTATGGATCAGACGTAAACGTAATTCGACTTTGTTTCTGACCATAATAGTTCTGACAGTTTCTAGAAGCCTTCTAGTTTTAAAAGCACTTAAAACAATAACTTGTTCACATTACCTAGTCTAGCCATAAATACTGTAACAAATAAAAACAATATTTTTACTATTGCAAATAACATTTATTACTTTTACAGTATGTAAGTTTAATACATAAATATAAAACAATTTAAAACATAAAAAGCTTATTCGAAGTGGTCTCCATTGGCTGCAATACAGTCCTTTAAACGTTGAGGCCAGTTATCAATAGAAGCACGCACTCTTTCCATGGGAAAATTCTTCACTGACAATCGTATGGATTGTTTTATTGAATCCAAATTATCATGACGTTTAGAGCAAGCCCTACTCTCTAAAACTGACCATAAATCATAAACCAGCGGATTAAGATCGGGACTAGACGACGGCCAGTCTTCAGCTCTGATGAAGTCGGAAACGTTCGTTTCCAACCAAGACTGCGTGGACCGAGCTTTATGACCCGGCGCCGGTCCTTACTTGCTGGAAGGACCATTGTTGGTTATTGAACATGGTGTTGTTAAGAGGCTTAACTACCTTCTCAAGAATGGTATTTTGATACACTTGTGCCGATGTTTTGATACCTTTTTCGCAAAAGTATGGCTCAGTCACTCCTTCATAGTTAACACCCCACCAAACCATCACTGAAGTCGGATAATGCCCTCGTTGCACTCTGTCGACTAATTGAGAAGCTTCCTTTAGAGCTTTGAGCATAATTACGGTCATTTTGTTTGTTAAAATGTTGCTCAATTGTAAAAAAAATCTCATCCGTAAACAAGATTTTTCTGTGACCTTCCTTTGCGTACCGCTTCAGTAGTTGTTTAGATTTTATCACCCTATTCTTTTTTAAATTATCATTTAAAAAATGTCCAGTGCGTCTCTTATAGGCTGCAAGTCCTAAGTCGTCTTTTAAAATACGCGACATGGTTCTAGGTGCTATCTTCATCTCCCGAGATAAAATCTTTTGCTTTCGGACAGGATTTCTTCGAATTCTTTCCGTTACTGCTTTGCCCACCTTTTTCGTACGAACACTACGTGGACGGCCAGATCTTTTTCTGTCACAAACATAGGAGGTCTCATTGTACCTATTAATAGCCCGGTACACAAACATTTGACTAATGCCAAGCATTGCATTTGGCTCCATACCCACTTTGTGTAATGCAATCACAGCGATTCGGTTCTCTTTATCACCCCACTCCATTTTACCCCACTCCAAAATAAGAAAACACAATGAAAAATTATATAAAAATGACAGATTCCAAATTCAAATGTAATATTTTGTTTATTTTTAATTGTAACAGTATTTATGGCCAGACTATGTATAGTGTCAAGACTAGTAAGAGTTTTAATTAACATTATCCAAAATGGGATTCGCCATTCTGGCGATAAATAAAACCCATTACGTATCATTTGAATAATATTGGTTCACATATTTACACCAGACGTGATAATAAGCAGAACTACAAAACGAACAATATTTTTCACAGCAATGATGTATTCGCGTGCAAATTTCATTTTCACAGTCAAAATTGTACCATTCAATATTGTTATACATATATTTAAAATAAACAAACTTCGTGACGTGAAAAAATATACTAGCATAATGAAATGAGTAGGTATGCTAGTATATTTTTTAAAGAACAAATGATTTCTTCGTGTTTTATTATTGCGCCGTGCTCGTGTGAAAATCTTAGATTATTAATATTATGAATAATCTAAGGTGAAAATCTGTCTGTCACTATGCATATATAGGCAAATAGACGTAATCTTGTTTTGGTAGGATTTTAGGTACTTACATATAACAATACTAGCTTTAGATTCCACGTGAACGAATCACGTGGAATAGTGACTTCCTTCAGATTTTTGGTATCAAAACTATCCTATGTCCTTTCTCGAGTTCCAAACTATGTCTATACCAAACACAGAAATCGGTTTAGTAGTTTAGGAGTGAAGAATAAACACACAGACAGACAGACAGAGTTGCTTTCGCATTTATAATGTTAGTTGGGATTAGGATTCAACTGAGATTATTTCCCAGAAAATGACTATTTTTCAGGTCTATATTTTACAAACGGGGCGCTATCTAAATGCTTGCATTTTCTTTGAAATAGTCCAATTAATACAAAAGATTCTATATGTCTACCTTGTATATGTGTCTTATTTGCAATCAGTCGTCACACTAAAATCAGGT